TTATCCGGCCCACCAGGTGTTTTACTGCCGCTGCCTGTCCTGCTTAGCAGCCAACTGGTCCTGAGGCCCACAGTCCAGCCCTCCAACGGTCTGAGGGACAATGAACTGGCCCCCTGTTTAAAAAGTTTGAGGACCCCTGCTGTAAATGGATACCTGCTAGGGTTGTGACCAGGAATAGCTATCATGAACAACAAGCCCTAAGAAAAACCTGCCTGGGAGAACATTAGTGTGGGAGCCAACCAGGCAGAGCTCTGGGAAGCGGGGTTCCCTCAGGAAGAATGTGAGGGCTTGGGTCTCCAGGGCTCAGGTACCCCAGGGCTCAAGTCCCCAGGGCTCAGGTCCCCAAGGGATCAGGTTCTCAGGACTCAGGTCTCCAAGGGCTGAGGTCCCCAGGGCTGAGGTCCCCAAGGGCTCAGGTTCTCAGGGCTCAGATACCTAAGGGCTCAGGTACCCAGGGCTCAGGTACCCAGGACTTAGGTACTCAAGGGCTCAAGTCCCTAGGACTCAGGTCCCCATGGCTAGGTACTCAAGGGCTCAGGTCTCCAAGGATTCAGGGCCTGGGGGGCTCAGGTCCCCAGGGCACAAGCTGGGAGAGGGGATGTGAAGGCCTGAGCCCACGCCCCTCCCAAGTTCTCAACTCAGCCAGCACATACTTCCAGAGCAAAGTCCTAGCAGGAGGCAGGTGGCAGGAGGATCAAGGGCTGAGGACAGGACAGTGGTGTGAGCCACACAGAAATAGCACTCCCTGTCTGTTGCAGGTGGCCTGGCAGCCCTCAGGACCCCTGAGTCTGGCCTCGGGGTGGCCTGCACTAGGCATCCTGACCCCTCACAAGGATGCAGTGGGCACTGGTAAGGGGTATTGCTCCTGAGTGGACAGGTACTCTCGCCTCATCTTGCTACAGCTTCACCAACCACACTTCTTATTCCCACCTGCAAGGCCCGGGGCAGGGCTGCTGCTGCCTCAGCCTTGGGTCCATCACCAATCCTATAGCCCAGAACTTGGCTCAGTGTGTCCTAGGCCTGGGACCGCCGAGGTGTGTGCTACTGGCCTGGCCTCTGTGGGACAGAGGGCTGGGGATGGGGTGTGGCCACACACCCCAGGCATATCCTTTTCCTCTCCCAGCTGTACCCCAGAACCGCTGGGGTGGTCTCCACTGTGGCATGGGTACTGGGAGAGCAAGGCACATTCCATGCCAGGAGCAGGCTGCTTGTGATTTCTGCTGCCATCCTGGTGGTGCCTAATCTCAGCTTTGGCCGCAGTTCAGAAAGTGGCTGCTGTAGGAATGGGGCTTGTGGGTGCTGCCGTGGCCCCCAGAGCAGGTGCGGCTGACTCTGCTACTGCATCCCCAGCTTCCTGCAGCTGCCTGGAGTGCAGGGCCAGCTCCTTCCTTTTTAAAGGGGTCCCTTTGGCCAAGTGAATCAGGCCAGGGCACAAATGGGGCACCCCTAGAAGTTGGGGGCTCTGACAGCTCCCTGCAGCACCCCATTATGTCTGCTTCCACTGAAGACCAGAGCTTCCAAACCCTTGCAGGGCTGAACCCTAAGGCAGGCAGCCTCCTGCCCATGGTTCACCTCCCTTCTCAGGTCACCTACCCCAGCTTCAAGCGAGAATGTCCCAGGACAGAGAGAGAGAGAGCTGCAAGTGTCTCTCACTTGGTTGCAGATTAGCTTTTTCCAGAAGCCATCAGCTTATGGGCTTGTCCTCCTCACATACTCGCTAAGGCAGCAGCCCAGCAGGCACAGAGGTTCTGGCCCAGCATCTGGGGAACCATTAGAGTCTAAAAGGTGCTACTGTGTCCCAGTTTCCCTTGAGCTATTGGCGTAAAATCTGCTTTGCAAGTTTTGCAGATGTGACTGAAAACTGACCACAGGCATTTAGCTTTTTGAGAGTCCAGATTTGCACTGTCAGCCACACACCTGACATAGGCCCCACAGTGACAAGGACAACAAGACATCCTTGGTGCCTTAACCCCCCCCCACCTGTGATAGAGGTTAGTGTAGCAGATGGTGGGGTACATGGCTTAGGTATGGCCCGGTCCAAGGGATATCTAGTTTTCAGTACAGAGCACACAGCCCAAAAGTTGTCCCACCAGCCGCTGGTGGCCTTATAGATCTTGCTCTGTGCCCACAGGAAACAAGTCACTGGGTAGCTGGCAGAAGCAGCATTTGGCACAGACATCTGCAAGAAGGGCAGTGTGGGGATGGCAGTGCCAATAAGACTAGGGACACAGTAATGGGGACCCAAGCGTGGAGCCACTGCATTTGAAAGATGGGTCTGGGGAGCCACAGCTGGCCACAGGGGAAGGGGCGCCAGCCTCACCCAGACACATTTCCTCCCAGCCCTAGGCATCAAGACCATAGCTCTGAGACTGGAAAGAATCTTTTTTTTTTTTTTTTGTAGTTTTTGGCCGGGGCTGGGCTTGAACCCACCACTTTCGGCATATAGGGTCAGTGCCCTACTCCTTTGAGTCACAGGCACTGCCCAGCTCCGAGACTGGAGAGGGTGTGGCTGCTGATCCCTGCCTGCCCTCCTGGGTTGACAGTGGCAGACATGGGGCAACCCTGTGGAGCTGAAAGGTGAAAAGGTGATGTGCTGCTGGTTTTGCTTCAACTGGTGAAGGTGGTGACAGGAGCACGGGGGGGCCTAGCAGCCATGGGGCTGGCTACTCCTGGCTGACCTGCTGACCATTTTCCTGGCCAGCATCTGGGCTCAGCAAAGGTGGCTCTGCTCCTGGGACCTGCTGAAGGGCCAGGGCTCACATGGTGCCTGCCATATTCAGAGGCTGTAATTACATATCTCTGTCCTGGGGGTTGAGTCACAGAAGGCGTTAGGGGAAGTGTTTGTGGGGCCTGTGATTCGGGAGCTCATGAGAAAAGTGGCAGCTTGCATGGCAGAAAATTAGGGCCCTAGGTGCTGGCAGCAAGCAGCCCCCTGCAGTGGCGCCAGGGCCAGGGCCAGTCGGGGCCAGTGGCCTTACCCACTGCATGCCGTCTCCACCCTACTTCTCGAACTGGCATCTGTTTGTCCAGCCATTCCTTCTACCACCTTCAGGACACTGACCCTCTGTTGTACACAGAACACAGAGAAGACCTCCCTTCCCAGATGAGCACACATACATCTACACATACATACTACACAGGTAGACACACTACCACAGCTCAGCCGCACGTGCATGCATGGACACACACACAGCCATACAAGAGCATGGCCACACACTGACACACACATGGGCACACACCCCAGCCATAGTCCAGCATGTCTGCACTCAAGGTGATGGACAGCACCAGACCCCAGGTGAGCAGCTGGAGGGTCAGAGAGCAGTTGGAAGGCCAGGCCAGACCTGGACGAAGGATCTGAATGGGGTTGCCTGACTCATGGCCTTTCTATCCCAGGGGCCACCAAAGACATGGGGAAGATGCTTGGAGGTGATGAAGAGAAGGACCCAGATGCAGCCAAGAAGGAGGAGGAGCGCCAGGAAGCCTTGCGCCAAGCAGAGGAGGAGCGCAAAGCTAAGTACGCCAAGATGGAGGCAGAGCGCGAGGTCATGCGGCAGGGTATCCGTGACAAGGTGAGTGAGTGCCAGTGCTGTGCACTGCCCTGTGGGAGCCACACCAGCCAAGAAGATGGCTCGGTGGGGCCCAGACCCCGTAGTGGGATGTTAGGGGAGGGGTTATGGGTCCCCCATTCAGGGCCTTAGAATGTACCCTGGAAGCTTTGGGGAGGGGGCCTGATGTGGGGGGAGCAGGACATTGGGGCAACCTCAGGTGTCCACATCTGGATTGAGTTTTCAGTCTGGGGCTGGCCTGTCCTATTGGAGTTGTTGGACCCTGTAGGAAGAGATGGGGGACAGGCCACCCAGCTGGCCAGGGGACACTCCTGAGGCCAGCTTTAGGCTTGGAGTGGGGACGCTCACCCAGGAAGGGTCCTGCACCTTCTGGGTGCATGGAGTGGGGGCAACTTGCTGGCCATGGCAGCTCCTGCTTCTTCTGGATGATCTCTTGGGAGTCAGGCAGCCAGAGAGCACCATGCCCCATCATAGACAGGGATACCAAAGCCAGGAGCAGGAGCCTGCATGTGAGGCTGACCCTGCAGCGAGGCCCAGGTGAGTAGCATAGTAACAGCCCCACATAGACTGTCCTTCCAGTGGCCAGGTTGGGGCTGGTAAGCATTAGGTCAGGCTCTGGTTTTTTTTTTTTTTTGAGATGGAGCCTCAAGCTATCCCCCTGGGTAGAGTGCCATGGCATCACGCTCACAGCAACCTCCAACTCCTGGGCTCAAGCGAGTCTCCTGCCTCAGCCTCCCAAGTAGCTGGGACTACAGGCGCCCGCCACAACGCCTGGCCATTTTTTGGTTGCAGCCATCATTGTTGTTTGGCGGGCCCGGGCTGGGGATTCGAACCCGCCACCTTAGGTGTATGTGGCTGGCGCCTTAGCTGTTTGAGCCACAGGCGCCGGAGCCCAGGCTCTGGTTTTATCCATACCACCACCACCCTACTCTGCAGGCTTGACCTGCTGCAGTCTGTGAGTCCAGCCGCAGGCTGTGGGGCAGTCAGGCAAGTGCTCTGGCCACCAGACCACAGCCAGCAGCCAACTTCACATGGCTGTGCACAGAGATCAGGAGCAGGGG